CTTTTTTTAAAATTATTTTTCAACTTTAGCATGATTAGCCCCAAGACATTATTATAGCATAATTTGTTTTTAGGATAATGCCTTATTTTGTTAACCACTTCCTTCCTCACTCCCGTGAAAATGACCGGGTGAGGTTTCGCCCTCTATATCTTGCTCCCGTGATATTTCCAGGCTGGAGTGTTCTGATGTAACGTGCCAATAAGAATAAAACTAATTCCTTTCTTATCCGGAAAACATTTTATTTCTCCTTTTGCACACCAGATGGCAGTACCAGGATATTTTTAAGGGTATTATCAAAAGAGATGCAAACAAAAAGAGATGTAGGAAGGAAACTCGGTACTACTGTCCAGATTGTGACGTTGGCCTCGGTGTCACATGCTTTGAAATTTATCAGACAAGAAAAAATTAATAATCTTTATTTATATTATACGTAAGTTTAATAAAATTCTTTTTTAATGTTTAAAACACAAATTTTTTAAGATTTTCCTTCCTTGCTGGAAAACCAACATTAAGTCACTGTAATCCTGAATGTTGGCTTTTCCTAAATATTTAATTTCTTAAAATTTCAAGCAATTAAAAATAAATATATATATTGTTCATACACATTTTTTTATATAATTTACAGGGATAAAAGAAATAGGAACTCTTATAACTGTTTTTTTGAAAATTAACGCGCCAAATTAACGGATTGAAAATTAACCGATCTTTAAGGGGTTAAACAGCAAATACTAAAACTCGACATTTGTAAAAAGATTCTGCAACAGTACCAATTTTAGAGTCATCATCTGATTTGTAAAAAAATGCAATAAAAAATGAGCAATTTTCGGGCTTATTTTTATTAAAAAAAATACGTGATGCGAAGGTTAACATACTCTTTACAGAACCTGTGAAAACCAATTTCTCTTATATTTCTTCATACGAGGATAAGAATGATATTGCTCCAAGGAACCTACTCAATATTTTCGTTGTTTCCTGAATTGAAATATGTTTGGACAAAACATATTATTCCTTGAAAGCTAAAACGAGAAAAAATTTAACTATTATTATTTATCTAAGCTTATTCTATTTTAAATAAATAGAATAAGCTTAGTTAAATAGTGCTGGTGCTAGGGGACATTCTATTTTTACATTCGACTTTTGAAATTTCAATTGTAAACGGAATTTTTTTATGTCCTTAAAAAATGTTAAGATTTGCAGTGAAAAAAAATTGGACTACATTCATTTTTTTAGAAAGTAATGATTAATTATGTATTATTTTTTCAATCTAAGAACCTGTGCCTTTATCTTTTGTAAAACTTATTTTAATATCGAGAGAAGAAATGAAATATACTGTGTTGCTAAAGAATATTCCCAAGAAACACAATCGAAAAAATAAAAACTTCATTGACTTAAAAATAATAGATGATATTAAAAAATAGACATGTTTTGAGCCTCCAATATTTAAAGTCACAAGTCATTCACGTCCGGCGAGTCTTGAAAATGGGCGCTTATATTTGAGCTCTCGAAACGTGTCGACTTTTATTTCTCTCTTCATATTTCATTTTAATATTTTAACAGGATTCATGTGATTTTTAAAAAACGTTAGAGAACCGTAGTATAAATATTGTAACTTCAAATGCTATTTTTAACTTTAAAATTAAAATTTTGAGACCAGATATTTTGAGTTAATGAAATTTAATATTTCAACTTATAAGTTTTTGTGCCACCATTTCAGTATCTTAAAGACTTTACGAACTTAAAAAGAGAATATCGTATCAGATAACAATGAAATAATAGTAGCGGTATTGGTGATAAATGTAGCCTATCGTAATTGAAGAGCATGTGCTTTTTCCTAAATTTGCAAAAGTTATTTTCAGAATGTATCAAAACATCAAGATGCTATTTGCAAATGATTTTTATCCAAATGAAACCATCTAATCTAAATATTTGGCAACATGAAGAAATTTTTCAAACAATGAATCATCATACAATGTGCAACATATTACTTCAATATTTTATTCTTAAACATAACATATTTCAATGTTTTTAAAGTGCCACTTAACATTCAGCAATTTCTGGAGTTATGGAAAAAAGAAATATCGTAAATTATAAAAAAACCTTGTGAATGTGCATTAGAATTACAATACAATCTACATTTTATTTTTAAGGCATTTCTTTTTTGTTTCTCCAAACTTTCTTGCCTAGAAGACTCGATTAAAACTGTAAAAATGATTATCTCTAAAATTTTGTATATAGTTATAATAAGTTATGTAAATAAGACTTTAGTAAAAAATCCTTGTATAAATGAAGTAGAAGCAACATAAAAAAAATAACAAATAACGTCAGATAAAAAAATTCATGTATTCAAATTCTAAAAGTTTAAAAAATCATAAATAATTTATAAATCGATTCAAATTTTCTTCTCAAAGGAGATTAAATAGAAGAAGAAAAGATCTTAACTTTTTGGACATAAATCAGCTTGAAATTTGTCGATTGCCTAGAAACTTCGAGATATTTTCTATTAACTATTATTATCTAAACCTCTCCGAGCAATCACAGAACATTATTTTTTTTTATTTTGTAGTATTGAATTTAAGAATATTTTATTAATTATAATATATTAATTTAAGTATTTAAAATTAGAAGCGAATTAGAATAAGGTAAGACTAATACTATGTCTAGTATTAGTCTTACCTTAAAATATAAATTTGCGGCGGCGACTTTACGTGGCTCTTTTCTGGGCCTAATCAGACACCAAAACGTACTTCATTGTTCTTGGGAAATCGAATTATAAAATAATCAGATATTTAAAATTTGGCATCTCAGGAACAAATCTACCGATTTCGCACTGATTTTTCCGTGCATCGAGTCTAGATCTTATTAACGCTGCGCCACAGAGGCATTCTCATTGCGGACTTTAACGGACTCGAGAAGGATTTGCACCCATCAGAAGAAGGTGACAAATATGCTAATTACTTAGTCCAGACGATATTTTAAGTCACGAAACCAGACGTACTTTCTCTGAATAAACATGCGTCTTTTTTCGAGGGATTCTCTGATTCCTTCAAAAATAGGGGGTAGCCGTAATCTATGAAAAAGGGTCCCAATAGTTTGGTCAGAGGAGTGGTCAAAAATTTTTATTCCTTAATGTTAATTTTACTTTTTTCCTTGACTCGAGAATTTTTTAAGCGAATTGAAACATTTGTGCAAACAATTATAAAATTGGTATTAGATGCCCAGATCCGGACCATTACTTTGGCTACGTGGAGATTCACTATTTGGTATAAAGTCAACTGGAAGAAACTTAATGAAATTTATTTTTGTAGCTTGGAGTTTTCTTCTTCATCCAAACCCAACAATTTCACGCATTAAAAAAAAAGAAATTCTTCATTTCAGAAATGCAAAGCTACCAATGCGCAACCTACACCCTTGTGCAAATTAATTGAAACAAACTCAATAAATTCAGAAAACTAAGAGAAAATGCTATTTTATTTAAATTTACACAAACTCAAAACTTTTTAGTACATAATATGATCTCCACGACACTTTATTAACATTTGGACACGATTCGGCATGGATTCCACTAATTTTTTACAGTCATTTATAAAATTTGTGTCCTTGTACCACACATGAATTAACGCCGTGATTAGCTTCTCTATAGTTGTACAGTCCATATTTAATAGGCGATTCTTGCATATGGCCCAGAGATTCTCAATTGGGTTGATATCCGGAGAGTTCCCTGGCCATTCCAATGTCTCAATTTGATTCTTAGACATGAATTTCTTGACAATTTTGGACGTATGGCAAGGAGCTAAATCCTGTTGAAAAATCCCTGTTCTATCAGGGTATCGTTTCTTCAACTCTGGAACAACTTTTTTACCCAGAATAGTAATGTACTGCTCAGAACGCATCATACCGTCAATAGGCTGCAAAGGTCCAACCCCATTGTAACCGGAACAACCCCAAAACATCTTCTTTAAAAAACACGAAAAAAAAAGTTTGTTTCAATTAATTTGCACAAGGGTGTATTTTAAGAAATGCCAAACATGATTCAAACCAACCATTTCTTTATTATTTTATGAAAATGTAGCCTCCTATTTTAAAATGTTGCTACGACTAAAATTGCTACAATTGGTCGGTTCCTAAATTCTCTGACTGGGGATACCAGTTAGGGAATTTAGTAAGAATTTAGCCCAAACCAAAATTTTTGATGTTTTTTCATTGATGGAGCAACATAATCTTGATAGTAATCATCAATGATTCCATCATGAATCATTGTATTTTTTGATGGTAACCCACATAAGTAACCATTATGTAGGAATTCGAACTGATTATGAAGGTCCAACGTAAGAATAGCAACTTGTTTTGATGGTTTGTTCATGTTCAATCATCACAAATTTCCATCATAGTATCTTAGAAATCAAATGTTGAAACGATCATGAACAACCATCCTCTTAATGTAGGAATTCGAACTGATTCATAATGGTCCAACATAAAAATAACCAGATTGTTTTGATGGTATATTCCTGAGAAGCAACAAGAATTCCTATTAAACCATCCTGGAAACCATCAAGGACCCTCATGGATTGTTGGTCCATGAGAGTCAAACTTCTCTTGATGGTTAACCATTATATTATTAAAGTAACATTGTCCATCATTCCAAGCTGGCATATCAAAAACCATAATGGAAAATGTTGGATGATGGTGACCATCAAGTTATGTTGGACCATCATGAATCCCTCTGAAACTAACATAAGCCAACACAAAATTTCGATGGAACAGTGGCGTAACTACCACTACGAAAATCAAACATCAATTCACTGGTGTATAAGACATGCTAACTTGATTCAATCATGAGGTACCTTTTGATAGATGAAGGTTGGCATGATCGATAACTCCGCCCCCACAGAACCATCAAGAATTTTGACTTGGGGGTGATCATTGGAACCAAAAGATATTGATTGTTTATTTAATTTCTGAACAGAATGGGGAGATTCTTAAATCCGTTTTTATTTTTTCAGACTTTGAGGTCAGTGAATGGAACATTGATTCTCCTGGAGACGGACGAGACAACGACGGGCAACTACAAGTGTGAAGTGTCCGCAGATGCACCTTCCTTCCAGACTGTCTCAACGCATCGGAAACTTAGAGTAACAGGTCAGCATCATCACATTATTTCATTAAACAGGGTGTTTATAAAGTCCCGAACCCATTTTGATGTTTATTAACTAATGAAATAATAAAGATGGATTAAAGTTAATAACATAAATGGTTAGATAGACTCAAAAAGTTTCACGACCCATGTCAATGAGCTTCCACGTGTGCCCCCTTCATCACACGGTCACAAGTCGATAGTCAATTTCACGCCAGATAGCGGCAAGCATGCGGGCATCCACAGAGACTATTGCGGTTGTAATTATGGCTTTTAGGTCATCAATGTTCGACACGATCCTCCTGTAAACATTGTGCTTTATAAATCCCCAAAGAAAAAAGTTCCATGAATACCGTGAGACACAAAGGGATTCCCCAAAAGTTAATGTGTGGTGTGAACTAATGCACGACCGAGTCATTGGGCCTTTCTTTTTAACAGAAAAGACGGTCTCATCAATCGTATACTTAGACATGTTGGAAAACTTCGTATTTCCACAACTGGAAGAGCTTCAGCCACATGTCTTTTTGCAACAAGATGGTGCACCACCTCATTGGGGTGTCATCGTTCGTAGTTCTTTGAATAACAATTTTCCAGGAAGATGGATTGGGCGAGGAGGTCCAATTCATTGGCTACCCAGATCACCTGATGTAACGCCGCTGGACTTTTTTCTTGGGGATTTATAAAGGACAATGTTTAAAGGAGGATCGTGTCGAACATTAATGACCTAAAAGCCAGAATTACAACCGCAATAGCCTCTGTGGATGCCGACATGCTTGCCGCTACCTGGCGTGAAATTGACTATCGACTTAATATTCTCCGTGCGACGAAGGGGGCACGCGTGGAAGTTCATTGACAAGGGTCATGAAACTTTTTGAGTCTATCCAACCATTTATGTTATTAATTTTAATCTATCTTTATTATTTTATGAGTTATTAAATATCAAAATGGGTCCGGGAATTTATAAACACCCGGTATAACCCTCGTTAAACAGCCTACCCAATGTTTGGGTTTACTACTACTAATGTTCAACTATGAAGCCTTGTCATTTGGAACATAATCCAGAAGACAAGGTAACTTCCGGATCAAATATTGGGAATAATTTGCCTTCGCGGAGGACTTTATGATGGAACTAACCCGAATTTGCGTTGCATCGAAAGGATGACCATGAGACCCTCTCACGGTTAGTCTGACGGCAAGGGGACACTAACCCATTATCCGTCTACCACAGTGGACATTTCAGAGTTCATATCCTCCAGCCACCGCTAGGATTCGAACCCGATTCAACTCATTGGAAGGCGAACGCTCTATCCCCCGAGCCATCGTGGCTCAGAGCATCACATTAGAGAGATTTTGCATGACCTTTATATTACATAAAATTTTTCTGCCTTAGCAATTTTGTGATATGTAGGGAAATTTTCGCTCATGCGCTACAATGCTCCAATAGCATCTCGGAAAAAAGTAGCTTTATGCGTAATCTGCTATGTAACTGGAAAAAAAAGGGATTCCACGATAGATTTCGAGAAAAGCGACTCGGTAACTGTTTTCTTTTCCTCTCAAAATTGAAGTAGATAAAATATAGATTTTTGTAAGCAAAATTGTAATATTCAGCTTTTGCCAACTATCTAAATTTTGTTGTCACTTTTTCTATTGCATGTCAGAAATCTGCTTCAGGCAGCGAAGAAAATGTTGCAGATTTTCTGTCATAGGTGGCTGAGGTTGTGTAGGGTGGTAAACAACAAAATGTTTAGCTCACAAAATAAATTACAAAAGCAAGAGAAACGTAATGAATTAATATACCCAAAAAAGTTCCGTTTGTTTTAAAAATGTTTCATAATTGGACGATCATTCAGGCCGGAAAAAAATTTTCCTTAGTGACTTACTGTAAATAATTTATGGTTTATTAAAGTCATTTTAAATTATAATGGTAAAGACTTCATTTCATTGATGTTAGTACAGTGCCTGGCCAAACTATTAGACCCACTATAAAATTCTGTGTAAAATCTTATTTATCAGGTGATACTGTAAAGCTGTATTGTTTTTAGGAGACTGTTTGCACTTGGTTACGTCCCTGTATCAATGGGCTAAATTAGACGATATATAATACAGTTTCGACGAATTGGATAAATGAGATGATATATTATATAAATATAGATATTATATATCAGGTATTATATTAGTACTAGTGGGCTGCGCCGCCTGCTCGCTCACGCTCGCCAACCCCCGATAAATGCTATGCAATCTGATATGGTTTGCTTCGCTCACTACTAACTTAGGTACATAGCAAATGCACAAAATTCTAAGAATTCATAACAATCATTCAAATCCATATAAAAACTTGTTTTAAAAAAAAAATTACATCTTTTTAGTAAATACTAAGTCATTAAAATAAATTTGAATTCAAATAAATGACATGTAATTCGTTAAACTTATGAGAAATGTGCTATAGTATAAAATCTTAAGATAAAATTTCTAAAACTGATATCTCTTTAAANATTTGTTATTACACAAATGGTATTACACTATGAAGCATATGTAACAATTAAATTAAAATTCACAAAATAATAAACAATTATTAATAAAAAATTAACAATTAATGCTAAAAAAACAATTAATAACCATAAAAAATAAGGTAACAATAAATAACTAGCAAAAAAATTAACAGTCCTGCTTAAACTAACATCTTACAACCTAGTATAAGTTATTTGTCATCTAATCTGCAACAACAGAAGTCACACTGATGTTACTTTAAGTTGAATTACGCGTATAACTGAGACAGTGCAATTTTTTTTTTCAATGTAAATAAATAGTTTTGAGTTGATAGTATTTAGTATTAATATTTTCCCAATAATCACGAAGTCAAAATTATTTGACGGCACGTCTATGACCTCATCAAACAATTTTTTAGAAAAAATGGCACGTTGGTGTATAAAGGTTCGCCTCCCCTCTGCTATAGTATAATTCGTGATATAAATCAAAAATCGTCAAATAAATTCGTAATATATATAAATTCTTGAAAAAAAGCGCTTTCGACAAAATACTAAAATAGAGATCTATCGACGAAGACTACTCACTTCTGCCTAGCTTAATAGTACGCAGCTGCTGCTCTCTGGTTATTTCAGTTTCCGTTTTTAAAACCGCTATATGCTGAGCCACCTCTTCTAGATTTGACATGTGACATTTTTAGTGGCAATCATGGGTCGATTTGCCGTGTAAGAGAAATAGTAACGTAAACAAAACAAAGCAAACGTTGCCACCGGCGGAAAAGAAATACAGTCAAAATTTGGGAGCCACGTAAGAGAATTATATATATTAGATATTATAATAAGTAGTCCAAATATTAGACTCACTGTAATATTTCAATAATTGCATATTTTGCACACGAGTTTATCGGCAATACTTTTATACTTAAGCAAACATGTAATGGATGTTTAATTCAGGAGATTTTTCATATACTTCCTATCTGTATTTATTTTTAACGTATTGTATAACAATGTTAACCCATGATACACGGACGTAAGCAAGTACAAACAGTGTCGTAAAAACAATAAAGCTGTACAGTATCACCTGATATTTAAGATTTTACATCAAATCTTTCAGTGGGTCTAATCATTTGGCTGTATATTTATACTAGTATAAGAAGGTTTCATAACACCAATGGCCTTTCTAAGAATTACACAGTATTAAAAAAAATTAATTAAAGAATTCAGGAATGATATTCGATGTTCAGAATTCCATCTTTAGAGGAGAAACCGCTCCAAGCGTTGTTTATGTTCCCCTAACAGGTAAAAAATTCTTTTAAAACCCCAAAAGAGATGACTTGTTTTTACGATGAATAATGAAACGAAAATATTATTCCAACATCAGAATATTGACTTGAATCAAACATTCTTTTCTCTTCATTATTCGAATAAAAAATCTCATTTCCGGAAGAAAAAAAGCAAATTTGTTAAAAAAAAAATTCAATTTTCAACTTACCAGGATAATATTCCATTGTAGCATCATAGTAACTGATTTTATATTTCACAAAATAACCTAACTCTTATGCAGTCACTTCGACAACGTATTGACAAACACTATTTAAAAAAAAAAATTTAAATCAATTCCAACGTAGGTCAACGAAGAAAACGTACATTTGAGTTACTTTTTATTAAATAATTTTAAAAAATTCCTCGAAATTTAATTCTAAACCTAATCTAAAATGAATGAATTAAATTTAATTAATGAGTGTGAATTAATATAATTGTATTAATATCAAGTGTCTCACACAATGAGTTTAAAAAAATTTATTTGAACTTGTATAGATGAATGAAAAGAAGAATATTAATGATTGAAAATTTGAACAAGATAAATAAATATATTAGGGGAGTGTGAATTAATATTAGGAATGTTAAAAAAAGGAGCGTGTTATCAGGTATATCGTGAGTAGTATGCGTTGCGATATATCGACGGAAGTGACGTCATCGTGGAAAGTCAAGGGGTGCTTATTTCTGTCCGCCTGTAAACCGGCAGTTTCTAATTTCTGGACGCCTTTAAATCGGAAGTTGCCCATTTCTGCCCGTTTATAAACCGGAAGTTGCTTATTTCTGCCCGTTTGTAGTGTTGGTTTCGGTTTCTGTTTTTAGTTTAGTTTCGTTTTTTAAATATTATTTTCAAAGTATTGCCATCCTTAAAAACTAATATTAAAAATAATAAGTGTTGCCACCCTCAAAAAACTAATAAATTAAATAATAAACAGAAACCGAAACTAAAATCGACACTACATTCGAGCAGAAACAAGCAAGTGGGCAAAAATAACCACACGGGAAGAAATAAGCAACTTCCGGTTTATAGGCGGGCAGAAATAAACAACTACCGGTTTATAGGCGTGCAGAAATAAGCAACTTCTGGTTTAGAGGCGGGTAGAAATAAGCACCCCTTTACTTTCCATGATGACGTCACTTCCGTCGGCTATATCGCGGCGCATGCTACTATCGTTGTATCTAAAAGTATGAATTGGGTTACGTGG